ATTTTAGCCTAACCCTACTATTTTTTGTGTGTGTGATGGTGAGAACATTTACTGAGTGATGAAGTAAAAGTTGTCCTCGTGACACTGGCTGTGATCCATAATTACAGTCTGGAGTGGGGACAGCTTAATTGTCACGTACAAACACGACAGAACAGCAAACCAGTTAGCTGCGTCATGCACATGTGCAGCATGAGCATACAGTGTGTATACAACTGTAAACAGAGACACAGAGAAGTATGCAAACCCTTGTGTATGTTTACAGATGCATCATCCAAACATACCCACACACATAATTAGTCCCACAGTGTTTTCTCTCTCTGTATTATTCATGCAAACTTTCTACATTAATTATTAACTGTAAACCAAGTATTGTTCTTCATATCTGGAATATTTTCCACCAAGCTTTAGCCATAGTTATAGTTGTTATATGGCACATACCAGTCTTCGTTATCTTTTTTAAGGACATTTTTAATTTCAGCTGTTGTTCTGTATCTGATATTGTTTAGTGATTCTGATTTTCTTTTTTGTGCATTGTAAAAAGTCTTTACTGATCGAACAGAATTGGTACAAACAATCTGCACTACAGATTGCCATCATGCCAACTCATTGTCCTCTATTGTATTTTACAAAGAGCTCTAATGAGATACAATAAGGGCTCATTGGTTTGCTCGTGACTGAATCCAACTGACTGCTTTTTCTAACCACCTCAGACAAAGCAGCCTATCTGACACTCACTGGTTTCTTCTGTGCAATAATGACAGTAATGTTTCTTTCTTGCCACATCAAAGTAATACTTTTGTGTTTGTCGTGCCTGAAAAGGTGTGTCGGACTTAAAACAAATAATACAGCTTTCACAGCACATCACTAATTTGAAAATGTATTCCAATATAACAATATCAAACACAGAAACTGGAAAAAAAACAAACGAATTTATATTAACTGATTTTGAAAAACATCTCTGATAATACATGTTATCTATCAAATGTGTGCTCTTGGACTATAACACATTATTCAAATATATATATTCCTGTGGCTTGTATTGTTACTACATTATTGTGTATTTTTATCCCCTTTGGAATTTGTCTTATACTGCCCTCTACTGTTTGAGGTATTAACTATTCCCCTGTTCTTGTGAGTGGAACAATTTTCCCTGTCACAGAACACAAAAATGCACTTATCAAATTTGTGGGACTTTAACAGTAAGGTTGTGACATAAATGGTGTAATATCGATTTAAAATGTAATCAAACACTGGAGTTCCCCTCCAGTGTTTGATGGTGGAGTTGAAATGTTCCCATTTTGATGAGGGTCTGAAACGAAGAAAGCATTTCCTCAATTGACTGTCATCTCTCTGGGGCCCTGGCACTGAAATACTGATAACATCTGGAGCCAGGAAAGAAAAATTAGTGAAAGCTGTGGGAGAGAGAAATATGAAAAGCTGAGATTGGCACACCTAGTTAAAATGCAGGAGGTTAAAAATGAGAACATGAACAAGAAATCTGTCCACATGTCTGTCCACACAGAAGGACAAAGACCTCTGTCTTTTGTTTAAGTTGGGGTCAGCAGCATGATTGTGACAATAAATTTGCACTTTTCAAAACAGAATAAGAAAAGAACTTTCAGATGAAAGTTGTTTTTAACAAGAGCTTTGCTACAGGGTGTTTGAGTGTCTTGGATCCTTAGACTGTGAGCTCCACAAGTGAGCAGTGCAAACAACAAAAGGCCTGACCACCTTTAATTTAGCCAAGATTTCAGAACTGTTAGCAGGGCTCTGCCAGGAAATCTCAAGCAGCAGTTGGACTCATTAGCGGAACCCACACATAAAAGCAGGAGCTTGATCGTTCAAGTCAGTAAAAACAAGCTGTGAAAGGCATTAGATAACACTGAAGGGCAACAAGGATTAGTGCAATGTGGCTAGTCCCCTTCAAACGTGTTACAAGGCTTGTAGAAGCCTTTCAAGTTAAGTTATAGTATTATGATGTTTCACCTTCTGATGCTTGAATAACAAGCGCTGCAATACTGCAGCATAGAGGAGATAAAAGGATGTATGATTGTTTCTAGATTAAAGGTTAAAAGAACTGGTCTAGTACTGGTTAAATATTTCAAGAGATGAAAAGAGAATGGTAATGCTGCGAATGCTGGGCCACTTGGCGTAATACTAATTAATTCTGATTTGGAGTCATTCAGCTGCAGGAAACTATTGGACATGCACTACTGAACTTCATCAACACAGAACATAATAGATGACACGCTGGTGGTATCAGGACATGAAGCTCTTTTTCATCCTCTTAGTAGCAGAACTCTATTATATGTTTAAGTCTGATTTGACCTAGTGGTTAAATTTATATAGGAAACGTAAAGGGAAGATAAAAAATAGACCCCTGTGGCCAAGTATATGTAGAGATACAAATATATATATGTCAAATATATACATACACTCCCAGTAATACTTATTTTGGTTTCCATTAAGAAGTTGCAAGTCAGTGTGATTCTGGCAGGATAATTGACCGCTCTTGGCAAAATTAGTAGAGTTCCCAGCTTTTAAGCCCAGTCCACAAATTTTCAGTACAGTCGAGGTCGAGTTTTGGTGAGGCCATTCAAGAAGCTTAAAGTTAGCCTTCTTTATCCATTCCAAGACCAGTTTTGATGTGTGTTTGGGTTCATTGTCCTGTTGGAGCACTCAGTTCTGCCCTAGTTTCAACCCTTTTGCTGCTGATATGACTTGTTGAAGTTGATAGAATAATAAAAACGTCCTCCTTCTTCTTTGTTATATTACTTTTTTGCACTATACCAGTACCACTGGCAAACAAAACGCCAGCTCCAGTGCATGATGCTACCACCACAATGCTTTACAGTTAACTTTACAGATTGCAGTGAACAGTAACACTGGTGTTCTAGCAGTTCATGACAGGTTTTCAAAATAAAATCATAGATAAAAATGTTAGCTGAATGGTATGTTTAAAATTACAAGAGAAAGCTTCTTTGAAATAACATAATTATCAGAAGTTTGTAAATTAAGAGTGGAAATGCTCCTAGTCAAAGAGCAGACTACAAAGAGCTTCTTATTTAGTATTCTGACATAGCAAAAATAGGTTTTTGTGCTTTTTCAAAGTCATTAACCATGAGGTACTGGGGTGAATTAAGGAGCACTTTAGATTCAGTTTGTAGAGATAACAAAATTCTTATCACCTAAGCCTGCTGACATATACTCTTGCATCAAGATATAGATATTTTTTCTTCATTTTGACAAACTTCTTGTCAATGCTTCAGTTAGCAGCTATGAAGTACAAAGGTGTCAACAAAGCAGAATGGAGGAGAGTTGTATCATCAGAAAGGCAAACTTCAGATTTAACAGTCAAGTACTTTTTTTTACATGCTATTATAATGTAGTGTGAAATTTGTGTTGCCTTTGCAACACAAATTTCAGTCAAATCACAGGGTTAGCCAAATATCAACAATTCCAATACATACTCAGGAATCCAAACTGTGTTGAAACTATCTCCAATTCCAATTTCCCACTCGTGGGACTAATAATAAAGGCATCTTAATATATCTTGAGTATTCACCCTAAAAACCAGCCTAGCTAATATAAAAATATCTGTCCTTGTTAGGAATCATAGTGACAGCACATCCCCCACAGAGAGAAAAGAAATAGACTCCTGCTTTGAATACATGTGAAATGAGTTTTGCTACATGCCCACAGGCTTTGGTTGGGAAATGCATTCTGTGCCTATTTGCATAAAGGACATCTGTCTAGTTAGCAATTCATATCTACAAATGTTCTCGTCCACAGCTATGCGGACAGTTTATCTGGAAAGCAAACAGGACTGGAGTCTGGGTGATATATAGACCACAAATGCATGTTTGAATATTCAGCAGCTAATAAATATAGAAAGAGTGCTGAGAAATTCTGCCCGCCTGCAGGCAATTCACTTCTTATTTAAATGTTTGGTATGAAACTGAAGGAGCAGAAAGTGAAATAGAAATGTCTCATTTTTATGTGTGAATGTGATTGATTCGTTTGGGTTTAGTGGAGTTGGTTTGATAATGTCGAGACAGTGACTCATGAAAGCACCTGTCTTTGCACCGTCAAAATAAAACAAGGCAATTCTGCAATTTTTTGGCTTTTGGGTTCCTAAATTTCCTTCAGTATGCTGTATTTGAAATAAAATCTCATGCGCAGGCTCTGGGCTCTGGTAGACTTTTAGTGCTAATGCATGAAGTCACTTCAACATTAAGAGCTCTGATTTGCTGCAGTTTCTTATTAGCATGGAGAAATCCCACACAGCTGGGTGATGAATCTGTGCCTCGCTATCTGACAAACTAATTGAGTGGGTGGACTAAGAAACACAGGGTCTTGCTGCCTGGCCTGGCTGTTCAAGTCAAGAGGCTGAGAGAAAAGAACATTACTCATTAGAGATTTGAAAAGTTCCTTTCTGATTCAGTATGTGTATGTGAGTGCTGGTACTGGTATTGCTCATTTTGTGGGGACAAGTCTGTTCAAACATTCATATTTAATGGACGTGTCCACCTTTTGTGACAAAAATAAACAAATCCCAACTAATGGAAAGTTGTGAAATTGTATTAAGGATTTGGCATATAGTTAGAGTCTAAAGTTTCAGAAAATATATGCATACTAAAGATTAATGTCAACCATAAGAGTGGTGGAAAAACCAGAGAAGCCAGGGGTTACTTGTAAAAGAGCTCCATCTAATGGTCAGTGATATTAAAACTACACTCATCTGCCACTATATTAGGTATGCCTGTTCAATAAGTCGTCAATGCAGATATCTAATCACCTAATCATGTGGCAGCAACTCAGTGCTTTAGGCTTGTAGACATGGTTTATTGAAGGTCAAACTGAGCATCTGAATGGGGAAGAAAGGTGGTTTAAATGGCTCTAAACGTGACGTGGTTTTCAGTCTTGGTCTTGACTTAGTGAACGTCTATGTCCTGCCGTTAAGTAATACAACTGAGCAAAAGAACATTTTATTTTGAAAGTATTTCCCGGAAGACTAATTAATGTCAGGCTACGTTGCCAAGTAACCTACTGAGATATTTTCAAAACATCTGCTGCCATCAGCTGATATGTTTAGAGATTAATTGGCCGCAGTCATGAGGTGATGTATATTTTACATCACAATGACGTTTGCATATGATAAGAAGTCACGTGTGTATCACACAATGTAAATACTGTATATTTTATTTCCCTGGCTTAAGTTAGCTAACGTTAGCTGTTTGATGCCTTTGTTCCCAGATAAATTGCAAACTTTAAATCAAGTTGTTTTTGTATTGTATATAATGGGACAACATTTTTTATGACTTTTCCATTATGCAGAAGTTTTTATGCCGTTTTATTGATACATACACACACACAGAAAACCCAATTTGTATTTTATCACAGTAATATGCTATGTCAGAAATTTCTTGAGTGAGTGATTATTAGACTTTATGTTGGACCTATACCCCAAGCTATCTGCATAGTATTACTAAGGCTATTTAATAGGCAACAAATGTGCTGCTGTGTATGATATTTTACAAAATGGCTGCACATTTTTATATGTAAAGTCCTAATCTATAAAATAACATTTAACCTTAACAGTTTGTTAAAAGTAATGGAAAACATACATTAAAAAAACCCAACTTAATTCCTCCTAAAGAAAAAAGTGTGGTGAATTAGCAATGTGAAGTCAATTAAAATGACTATAATTTGAATGAAATAAAAGTGCATACCACCAGATTATATGAAAAATAAGTATCTAAATCAGAGTAAATATTCCCACTGTTGGTTCTCTCATCAGTAGAACTCATCATAAGACACATTATGCAATATATTGTAATGTAAAAAGTAATCGGTCTCTTTGTCCTTCCTTCTCATGTTTCCTCTTCTGTAGCTTGCAGGAGGACGAGCCCCAACAAGGGACACTGCAGGAGGTGGCAGCCAGAATAATTCAGAAGACTTGGAGAGGATATATGGTAGGAACATCTACTACTACTGCTATGGGAACACAGACTCACAGATGTGCACAATTGTAGGAACAGCTTTTTTTTTTAATCTACCCAAATTGCAGGCCAGTGAAGTCTTCAGGTATTTCAAAGAGCTGATTTTCTACTGCAAACAGCAGGATCCAAAGACCATCCTCAAAACTGTCAATCCTCGAGAGGTAATGGAAATTGCAACCCCTATGAAATAAAACCAAATCAAACAAAATGAATTCTGATTTTGTTGTGGCAGGCCGAACTGCTGGATGCTGCAGCTGGAGTGTTTATCAGATTTCGACTTGGAGGGGTAAGAACTCAGAGAGGAAATAGTTTAGGTCAGGAATAGATCACTCAGGAGCTATATGAATATAATATTAGAGACATGCCTTCCTCTCTAAGGCTAACCTCTCTGCCATTTTAGATCAACTTTCCTCCTGATATTTATTACAAGATCTTCACCCATCAGCCCATTATGGATGTGTGTGCAGGCAGCCCAAAAGACTACACCAAGCAAAGTCGTAGGAAGCTTGTGGCCCAGAAGACCAACAAAGGCCCAGCTGTCGCAAAGGATGACCAATCAGGTTGGTACAAGCGCATGGAGAACAATAGTTGGAGGCTGTTCTGTAACAAGGTGAGGAACAAAAATGATTTTCTGTTCTGCTTTAGTCAAGTTCTGCCATTTGTTTAGAAACAGGGAGCCAAAGAGCTACAGCAAGTTTACAAATGCTGTTTAACAGGAAGCCTCTAAAAGCCGAAGTTCTCCAAGTCTGTTTTGGGGTTTTTTTGCTTCGTCTTCTCTCTTAGGTAGTTTTGGCACGTGAGCCTGCAGAGATCGGTGCTGACAAAAAAAATGGACTTTCATTACTCCAAGTTGCAGCGGAATCAAGATTTAGAGAGTTGGAGGAAAAGAAAGAAAATTGAATGGCTGAAGCAGATGTAAGTGCTTTATGTTTTTGTGAAATGAAACAGTTGGTGAGCAAACCACTGTAGCATCAGTGATCTCAATAATGTACATGCAATCTGAAGTTTGTGTGTGTTACTTATTAATAGTGATAGAAACCTCCCCCTTATAGAATCACATCTTTGCTAACAAACACATAATGATGTGTTGTTTTAGTTGTGTTAAATGAGCTGTCACTCCTGTTCCTTACATACAGGTATAAAGAGGGTCGTCTGCAGGATCATGCAGAGCACAGACACATGGCGGCCCTGGTGGAGAGTTCCACCCAGGAATTGATGGAGACAGTTGAAAAGAAAGGAGATGATGAAATACTGGAATGGGAGCTGGATGAGCTGCTGGCCTGGACCAACACTCTAAACTTCGAGGAGTAAGGCACTCTGATTAGAATGTTTATGGCATTTGTAATCTTTCTCATAATTTCCTGCATCATGGGGGGCCCGAGTATGAATTTTCCTCTCTTGCCTGTGCAGGTATATGGAGGAATGGAGACATTTGGCCTGCAGTTACTCCTCTGAGCTGAGCAAAGGTAAAAATATTCCCTAAATACTGTATTCTGTACTGCCATCTGATTTTTTTAAATTGACAGCTAACATGGCAACATCATGTACAGTATGTTGCTTTGGAAGTCTTTGCATTATCCTGATAATCCAGTCTCATGCTATTCTGTCTTCCTTTTTTCTTCATCACCTTTTTCTCATATGTCCTACAGATGGCCCTTCTCACCCACCCAGGTTAGATCCACACGAGCTCGCTGATGAAAACGCAGCAGAACAAACATGATTTATGTTAAAACTGTGCAGTCTCGAAGTGGAGTGTGCCACACTGTTATTGTCGCAGTATTCACTTTAATAAAGTCTGAAACTTGCAGTTGTTTACAGTCCTTGTTAGTCTGTCATATAAGTAGACATCACTGTGTGACATTTTTTGTTAGTTTTAAATAGTTTTTAAAAAACTATAAACATGTGATGAGCGTCTTTTGAAGTGGATTTTAATATTACGCTGCAGCCGAGAGAGCACTCTGGTCAAACGTCAAAATGGTCTCTAAGTTTACACATTAGTTTTGACTGCTAATGAAAATAGTTTTCGTTACAAATAACTCTCGCACTGAACTAACAGCCAATCCCTCAACAAGTTTGTGCTCTCTGCTCATATTGCCTTCATATTAAATCATTTTGTGCTTTTTAAAGAACTTATTTTAACATTGCACTCAACAACAAACAAATCCTCCATAACAACAAAAGTAACTTCAATGGCCAAACTGCATTATATTTCTTCAGGTCAATATACGGGCCCCAAGTAGGAGGGAGGTAAGCCGTGAGTTTGAGACCCTTGCTAAAATGAAACGGTGGAGAGTCCCAGGTATTTATACACCAGAGGGATGTGTCCCTTAAAGGAATCCAGACACTCATCTTTCAAAGCTCCTTAGACTAACAGGCCCTGGATGACTGAGAACAGACAAAACTACTATGTTTTAGGCACTGCTGGGAGTTGAACCCAGGATCTCCTGTTTTCTAGTTTAAGACTTACTAGACAGGCACTTTAACCAACTAAGCCACAGTGCCACATGCACACAGATGAGTGACTTGTTAGTGTGTAGACTATAGTTTGTTACAGTAACATTGTGTTAAACCACATTCCGAATTCCAGACAGTCAGACTGCCAACAATTGCTGCTGCTGATGATGAACATCTGCAAATCAACATACAGCTGATATCCCACGTGTTTGTATCTTGACTGTTCAATTTCAAATATATGCTGGTGGTATATGAAGGCAAAATGACAATCCCAACTGGTCCTAACTGTATTTATGCCTTTTGTGTTTCTTAGCTTGATATCTGAGGGTGTTCAGCTCATTGTGATAACACACTGTAGCACTGTAGAGAGAAGTGCATTTTAAAGGTCAGCCTTACTTGTATTCTGGCTGTTATTATTATTATTATTATTATTAAATTCCAAAAGCTTTACTTGTCATTAAGGTGACAAATTAAAGTTTTGCAAATGACTAACGCAAAACTGAAAAACAGGGGGCACCCGGATTTGAACCGGGGACCTCTTGATCTGCAGTCAAATGCTCTACCACTGAGCTATACCCCCTCACGTTAAGCACAGAGGACGCATACGTATTTATCATGATCATAATCATTCCCCCATACGAAGTTGGCATAGAGTTTATGTTTATATCTTCAATTAAATGATAACGAATTGATTTCGTATACTTTACATATTGTACAGCACACCATTGTCTGTTTAACTGGAAAGACGTGATCCTGTACATAAGCTATCAGCGGATGTGTCGTCATCAAAACGAGACGTTACCGGATACAGCAGTGTATCGAAAGGAAAGGGGAACAAACGAAGTGACAATGGTATGATAGCGTTTTTAATCCCTATACCATATTTTTAAATATCTTAAACCTTGTTGTTGCGTACTCTCTCTGCTTTATAATCTGTGTGATCATTTGAGGTCTCGGTGGTGAAGTTGTTTGTCTTTAACCGTGCCCAAACTGAGTAGCTGTGAATTTGATTAGTCACTCGAGCTAATGCCAGCTAGCGCTTAGGTTAGCCACAAGGTCCCTTAGATAAATACAACTTCCAGTATTTGTTGCTATTAGCTACATTAGATAGCCATTAGCTAAGTGTTATCAAATGTAAATGGTTTATGTATGTCTTTGATGTGGACTACAGAATTCCAGAGGACTTCGCTCTCAGCTTAAGGACAGTGTACCTGTGGCTGGGTTCTCTCCACAGGGAGCTTACGGAGTGCAGGACTCCCTCCGTAGTGGGTGAGAAACTGTTAAAAATAAAACTCTGTTGCATGCTAACCTCCAAAAACACATTGTTGTATTAGCCCCCAAATAAAGAACAATGTGCTTTTCGTAATACTGTTTTTTCTCTTCTACTTTTATTAAACAGATTTACCAGTGTTAAGAATGAACTGCTTCCAAGCCACCCACTGGAGCTGTCAGAAAAAAATGTGAGTCATTAAACCAATTAATGCTGTTTTCATGAAATGCTTAAATGGTATTTGTGTTCTGTGCTTGGTTTTACTATAAAAATTACTTTTTTGTCAAATGCAGCTCAGTTTAATCACAATAGACACAAAGTGCAAGTAGTAAAAATACGTTTCTGTGGGTATCTCACTGTTTTCTGTTTCTCTATGAGCAGTTCCAGTTGAACCAGGATAAGATGAATTTCTCAACACTCAGAAACATCCAGGGTCTTCACGCTCCTCTAAAACTGCAAATGGAGTACAGGGCGGCCCGACAGGTAGCTGCAGTCCTTTTTCAGGTGTTCTCGTGTTTTGTTTTCTTTTTCTCCTTCTCAGTCCTGACACCAACTGTTTCTTCCCTCCAGATCCAGCGTCTCCCATTCCTACAGAGCTCAAATTTGGCTCTCGATACGCTGCGAAACAGCGATGAGTCCATTGGATTTGAAGACGTCCTCAACGGTGGGAACCTTGTCCTTCCCTTTTACACCTTCAGTGATATGTGTGTCGACGTGAAACCATGGCTTATACTGTGCTTTTGTCTTTTTCCTTTGTAGATCCAGCCCACAGTGAAGTGATGGGTGAGCCACACATGATGGTGGAGTACAAATTGGGATTGTTGTGAACAGAGTTGTGCACACAGATCCATATTATTATTATGTATGAATACATTTGTTTATCAACTCCATAACCAAAGTTAGTAGTTGGTGGAGAGTTTTAGTTGTGGAGTACTTTTGAGCAGGAAATGGGTGTGCGTGTGTAGTGATCTTGAAAAAAGTCACTCACACAGGCTGCTTTTGTATGATTTCATTTGGTTATTTCTAATAAACTTCATGACTCTCCTCATTGTCCTGGTTCATTTGATCAGTTATTGACATTTTTAGATGAGCTTGCGCTGATAAAATTACCTGGTGATGTGTTCAGAGAGAAGGTGTAACAAAGCCTCACTCTACCCACTCTGAGTATATTCACCTGTATAGCTAACATTGATTCGCCAATGCAACAGGTTAATAAAGAGCAACACTTGTATTTTAATCCATGTTATTCTTCATTTGCCTAACTTGAAGTGTCCTTAAAAACTCATTGATATCTAAATCTTTTTTTTTTTTCATCCCACAATTAAATTCTTCAGATATGTTATTTAAGTCTAATTGCATGTTTATACAACTGTACTCTCCAATTAGAGCTTAAGGAGCTGTTGGCAAGGCTCTCCGCTGTCTTTTAAAATTTGCACTGTGAAGCCCGAGCTTGTTAACATTAATAGCAGGGTGGAAATCACTGAGGTTGAATTTATAATGGCTGCTGCTTGGTGGCATGGGCCGGTCAAACATCTGCAGCGAGTTGAAAAAACGCAGAGTATAGGTTTGTGATTGATGCTTTTCTGGGTGATGTATGACGTTCATGTGAAAATGTGCTAAAGAGAAATCCTACAAATGAACCCTAAAAAGGCACATCTGTCAAGTGAAAACCATTTCATATATCATGATGCTCATTGACAGAAGGCTGAGGGTTTGTGGCACTGTAAAATAAGCAAAGCGTGGCTACTTCCAGGAATCTAAAATTTAAAACATATTTAGTTATTTATCATTCTTTTTGATGGTACATGATTCCATATTTCTTGCTTCATTTATTTGACGTCTTCAGTTTTGGACACACATTGTCAGGGTTTTTCTATATTGTAGATAAAACTTTTGACTGGTAGCTTTCAAGACAATCTTTCATACATGCCGCTGTATTTGCTCTGATATGTGACTTTTGGAAAAAGACTGCATATTTTCATGTGGCTCGTTGGTCTAGGGGTATGATTCTCGCTTAGGGTGCGAGAGGTCCCGGGTTCAAATCCCGGACGAGCCCATATGTTGGCTACAGGACCAAAATGTTGTTTAGCCTCTATTTAATCCAGCAATCAGTGAGATGTTCTCTACAGCTGCAAATCACACATGTTCCCATAGTAACTGATTTAGGGGCAGCTAAGAGATCTGATATGAATGACCTCATTGGCCTTGGCCAAGTAGAAAACATCCACAAATATTTCCAAAAATCTAGTGTTGTGTTCGTTTTTTATTTTCAAATATTGAATAACAAGACAAAACTGCAAAGCTGAATTAATTATTTTCGCACTCTTAATTAACTGAAGCCTTTCACTGAACTACCAAACAAACAACTTGGTACTCTCTTTCTGGCCAGTGTCATTGAAGTTTTT